GAGTACATTTCCTCCTAATATAAAGACTATATTAAATAAATATAATTTTGTATAAATACATTTTATTTATTATTGTAAAATTTGTTGTATAAACAATATTTTTCGAAACATTTTGAGCAAGCATAATTGTTTTGAATTAGGTCATTTTCCCATAATTTTTTAGTAATTCTATAGATTATTTTCAAAGAATTTTTAGATCAGAAGACCTCAGATGTTAGGACAAATGCATATTTAGTTTCTTTAGGAAGTTGAAGAACATAATTGCAGGTGTTTACGAATCACAAAAAAATAGATCTGCTGAAAGAATGAGTAATAAAGTGCCTAAAATGATGCGTATTATAATATTCTTTTGCCTTAACCTACCAAAAACGAGTAATTTTGAAAAATTATAATATTTAAATTACACTTTTTTATAAATTTTTTTACCAAAACGCAAATACTTTCCCGAATTTCCCGAAAAGGAAATATTCCCTGATCAAATAGGAATCTACTGAGCACCGAAATCTTTCGCACAACACACCAAACGTTAAGAGATCTGGAAGTAAATACAAAGAGGATGTTTCACTTTTGTTCTTATCACAACAACTAAGGCAATTGCAGCTGAACTGTTGACAGGTTGAGAATGAAAAATGTGAAAGAATGAATGAAATGACAAGAAATGAATGTAAATAAAATAATACGCTTGTAGTCGCTCACAAATGTAAAAATACTTGATTTTCCTAAATAATAAAACGTGACTAATTTAATCATTTTGTGATCAGTTTCAGCTGTGAGAAACATAATTTCATGCCTAATGTTAATGTAAATGCCTGGTTTAATCATTTTGTAACATTTTAAATGCCTAAAACTTTTCATGCCTAATGGTGCCTAATTTCATAATTTTGTTACTTATTTTAGATGTCTAAATCGATAGTTTTTTGAGCTTAAAACTCCGAGGTCCAGTCACAAGAATCCGAGCTCTTGCATTTGCCTCCTTGCTCACCTTCCGGGTGCACGCCGGGCTGGAAGCGCTTCAGCACGCCCACGCCGTAGGTGTGCTTGGAGCGGCGCACCGTCACCACGCCGGGCTCCAGGCCGAACAGCACCGCGCCGCGCAGCGTCGTCAGCGCGACCCCCTGCGCAGCACACAAACCCCAAGCGACTAAGCGGTGCAACCCTCCACGGAACGCACACAAATCGTAGTTCTCGACAAAGACAACAGCACCGCACCGCGCAGCGTTGTCAACGTCTTTAAAGCAAATTGAAGCCAGGTTTTTTGCGATCAAAGCAGCGTCCTCTGGGAAAGAAAGTATTCTAGCATTACGTTTGGCGCTGGTTACGGAAGGTTACACCATGGATGAATCTATGGCTTCACCGCCTCTCGTATTATATTTTGACTTCAAAAAACCTGGCGGCCACTAGTTCGGCGAGCCTCCGCCAAGGGCGCTGAAACTACAGGGACAGCCACTCTATGTAGTACTTTCTAACTCGTTTGTTCTACCCTAGTGGCAGTATTGTGTGGCGTCATACAGGTGTAATCGGAACACAGACAAGAGTGGTTTGTAAAACAGTAGATTTATTCACAATCTAGCCCGTAGTGTCAATTAAACAACTACCCTGCTTACAATAAACTAAATAAATAGACCCACTGCAAGGAGAGATAATTTACGAACGGCTACCACACCGCAACATACTACCGATTTTCCCTGCGTGAATCACCGCACTACCTTGAGACCATCTATGCGTCACACAAGTCACGACAATGAATTGCCGGCCCCTCGCCCTAGTGCACCTACTCGCACGGACACGCACATCACCCGTCGCCGACGCCGCTAGAACAAGAAGACTGGGGTATTGTTCTCCTGGCCTTATAGAGGCTCTTTGACGCTACCCGCCGCCCCCATTGCCTCCTCTCAACCGCCGCCCTGGCCACGCTACGTCC